CATTTATGACAAGTTTGTGAGGTTTCTTAGAGTATTCCATCTTTTTTAGTGTCTTATCTTGAACCTTGGTTCAAGTGGTGGCAACCACCACTTATCTAGGGTGGCTCATCCCCTTGTGGCATGCCAACACTCCACCACCACCATACTTCTCTTCTCTTCATCTTTTGTTCTTTATTTTTTTACTCCATTTATTTATCTAAGGGACTGATCCATTTTTCTAGCCCTTGTCTTTATTTTTTTCTAGTTTCATTCCATCTCCTCCTCCCTCCACAATCCTTGGAAATGAACCTTCACATCTAGATAGACAACTATCTTAATGTCTAGTGAGAATTTTCTTTGGGTTTGCTTACTTTTTTTTTTAAATTCTGCACCTTATCTTCTAAAAATTTTGCACCTTACTTTGTTTTACATCATATGGATACACGAAAGTCTACATTTAATTATGTGTATCTTGTCAAGCCGCTGAAAATTTATTGTGATAATTCTGCAACAATCTTCTTTTCTGAGAACGACAAGTATTCCAAAGGTGTTAAGAAGCATATAGAATTGAAATAATTTATTGTTAAAGAATAAGTTTAGAAATGAAGAGTGTCAATAAAACATATTAACACTGATCTTATGATTTTTAATCCTTTAACAAAAAAATTATCATCCAAGTTGTTTGTTGTCATATAGTGAACATAACATTATGTTTACTAGTGAATTTTGAATGTTAATGTTATTATTAATGCTTATGTGACACTATGAGATCTTTAATGTATAAGTTTTTGAAATTTGTGTTTTTTTCTTTATTTATATGCATGCAAATTATGATGAAGAAAACAAATTATGTTATTATTATTGAAAATGATATTATGTTTGAACTCATTATGAACTTTTCATTATAAAGTTATTAAGGAAAAAGAGATAATATAGTAGTACATGAAGGGGAATATGTCGATTGAATGTATGTAACCATCATAACTCTTGTTATAACTATATATTTAATTATGAATAATGATATGACCAATTTATGTAAGGTCCTTTAATGCACATTATGACTTAAGTATTAAATCACGGAATGATATGACATCACATAAGTTAAGTGGGAGAATGTTAGAATTAATTTAATTAATTCATTATAATATGTGACTCATGTGAAATATAATGATGAACCCAAATGTGATTTAATAAAATATAAGGATATATTGGTTATTATGGGAAGTCATAATAAAAAAAAGATAAAATAAAATAAAAACTTATAGTAATCAACTTGATGGATGTTGGTTAATAAAAGGGGATTAAGGTTATATCTCCGGTCATAAGGTTCTTTTCACAATAAATCATCAGAAAAGTGTGATAAGAGAAAGAAAAACAAAGAGATAGATTGGGAAAAAAAGGTTGGAAAATAAAGACATTAAAAAAGCATGAAGCTTTGACATAAGGTTTGTCTTCGTCTACCTTCTCTTGCTATTGGATTGAAGATAAGGCCAAGAAAGAAGTGATTAAGAGCACTTTCAAAGTCAGTATCCGCTTTGCTTTATGGTCAATATCATATCCAGATCCACCTTAGTCAGAGTTGCATCAACTAATATGGAATATCCGGTGTTAAGGAGCTCTAAACCCCCTGTTAGCTCACTTGGTCGTGTCCTGTGGAGACAGCTCCCAACCAGGACGAGGAAGGTTACATAAATTTTGGAAATGAACCTTACCCTGTTTGACAAGTTGTTCCGACTTAAGGCTATTAAGTAGTGGAAGATCTTGGAAGGTCTTTTCTTGTCTCGTTGACGAGGTTAGGGTATCCTAGGATTATCTCGTCTTTCCATCATAGTAAAGTCGGAAAGATGAGACATCCGACTTACTAGTGAAACTCTACTTATCATTCTTCACTCTTGCAAGGGCTATACCCTTAGCCAAGAGATTGACTAATAAAAAAATATAAAAATAAAATAAGTTCGCAACCAAGGGACATGCTAAAGAACGACTTGGAGAACAAAGGCGTAAAACCGTATAACAAGAAGTTTAAAAATTGTTGAAAGCTTTAATTTGAGAAGTAATACATAACCTAATTAGCAAATGTAGTATTGGTAAAACAATCTAATGACAAATGGTGTATGTGCATTGATTATACCTACTTAACACAAATCTTGTTCTAAAGATTCTTATTCCTTACTATATAGATCCATACTCGAGGTATAATAAAATACCTATGTACCCACCTGATAAGGAAAAAAATATCTTTAGAGGGAGATAACTTTTGTTATAAAGTTATACTCTTTGGGTTAAAAAATGTTGGCTCAACATATCTAAGATTGATGGATACAATATTTAAAGATTTGATATGTGATACGATGAAAGTTTACGTGGATGGCATGGTTGCCAAATTTAAAAAAGCTAGCGATCACTCAAAACATCTAGAAAGAGTCTTAGTCAAGGTTCAAAAGTATAACATGAGACTCAACCCAAAAAATTGTGTGTTCAGAGAAGTGAAGGAATATTTTCAAGGTTTATGATTACATAGAGAGGAATAGAGGCACATTCTAATAAATATGAGGTTATTTTAACAATGAAAAATCCACAAAATGCTAATGAGGTACAACGGTTAAATAGGAAAATTAGTCTCTAATCAATTCATCCCTAAGTTGGTCGAGAAATCAAAATCATTCTTTATGTTTTTAAAAATAGCTCAAAAATTTAATCATAACGAAGAGTGTAAGGAAATGTTTCAAATAATACAAAATGATATTGTCTCTTTACTTACATTGACAAGCCTATATTTGGGAATCACCCTCTTAATATATTTTGTCACAACTAACTCGACCATCAAAGGACTTTGTAAGAAAATGTCAAGCATGTAAAAAATTTGCCCTAATATTTAACGTAACCATCGAAGAGGTTCATGTGTATTATGAACCTGGTCATTCACTTGATCAGTTATTGATATACTCAACTCATTCCCTGTGACAAAAGGATAAATAATTTTTTTTATTGTTATAATTGATCATTTCACCAAGTGGATAGGAGTATAACCTCTACCCATTATCACGACTCAACAAGTATAGAAGTTTTTGTGGGAAAATATAATATGTGGGCATGGAATCCCACATACAATAGTCACAAAAAATGGAAGGCAATGCATTGACAAAAGACTAAAACAATTTTTAGAAGGGATAACAGCAAAACACTTATTGACATTAGTGGAACATCTTTCAATAAATGGACAAACTACTGCTAACAAGTTCATCTTAAACGAGCTTAAACGCAAGCTTGGACAATCAAAATGATGTTTGCTCGAAAAGATTATAAGTATATTTTGGGATATCATTGCACTCCTCGATCTTCAACACAAAAAAACTCTTTTTTCCCTAATTTATGGCATTAATGCCATGATATTAGTTGAAGTAAGTGAGGAATTATGGAGAAAGAAATTTTTTTGATGAACATAATGATAAAAATCTCAGAATCGAGTTGGACTTAGTAAGTGAAGTATGAGAATATACTTATATAAAAAAAGTCATTAACAAGCCAACTGAAAGGAGATATCACAAAAGTATGAGAAAGAAATTTTTTTAAAGGAACCTAATACGAAAAAAGTTAAAAAAATTTATAAAGATTGACCTGATGGAAAATTAACATCAAATTGGGATGGTCCATATTGAATAGTATATTCAGTTAAAAATGTTGTATACAAATTACATGAATTGTCCGACAAAATAATACCTCAACACGTAGAATACAACTTAGATAAACAACAAGTATTTCAAATTTGAACAATTCATATACTAATATGAAAAAGTGTAATTGTCATAATTCATAAAAAATATTTACTTCATACTTATCCAATTAGCTTTACACTAACATAACAAAGGCATAATGACGCAACTCACTAAAAATTTGAAATATGTTAACCTACTCACCTAACAAGAGATTAAGATAAAAGAATATAACTACCATAAGACGTTAGACGTAATTACTACAGTAATATGTTAGACATAACTAATGCAACACATCTCACTAAACATAATTATCACAACACGTTAATAAGAAAGAACTTTTGTAGCTCATTTCAAATAAAAAATAAAACTAACTTTGATTTGAGTTCTATAATAAAATTGATCTAGGTTTTATACAAAGTACTCTCATCTAAATTCTATAAATTTGACATGTTTCATATAGAATTCTATAAATTTGACATGTTTCATATAGAAGTTGATATTTATACTCCAATTACTGTACATTGATCCAAACACATTGTAACATTGTTAAAAAATTAAAAAATAAAAGAAAGTAAAAAATTTATAAAGAGTCATTCATTTACCAATTATCCATCAAGTATCAATTTCTCCCTATCAAATAAATTTGTATCAATGTCCGGACAGAATAACTTGTTCTAGACCTTATTGAATTCATCTTCAAACACTTTTATCAATTACTCATCAATCACTCAAAGCTCAACCGCTTACTTATAAAAAAACTACTAATAATTCAACAAGTTTGAGAGGAGTTGACCTCATTTATATTATTAACTTCAACAACTATAATATTAATAACTTAACATTAGTTTTATATATATATAATTTATGTAAAGTAAAAATTCAATTACAAATTTTGATCAAAGATATTAAACTCTGTAATATTTAATAAAAATCACAGAACTCATAGAAATAAATAATAAGTTACATTATTATACATTTAAAACGACAAATTATCAAAACATTCAAATAATAATATTATAATGTAATATAGTATGTGACAAAATATGATTATACTTTTATATTAAAATTTTAATTTACTTTTTTCTTTATAATTTAAAAATATTTATTAATAACAAAAATCTTTTTAAATTAGTTTTATTTTTGTATTTCATTCATGTAATTCACTAATTTTCAGTCACCCCGGGGTTAAACTCTTCAGCAAGTAAAGCCCCCTTTATATTCGTTGGTTGGTTGTCTTCTGGGTTGCGCTGCACTGAGAGAATCGCGGCAGAACAAAAAAAAGTGTAAAATCGGCTCTTGAAAAAGATGAGTAGCATCGGAACCGGTTACGATCTATCGGTCACCACTTTCTCCCCTGATGGCCGCGTTTTCCAGATCGAGTACGCTGCCAAAGCAGTCGACAACAGCGGGTACCTTTTCTTTCTTCAATTCATGTTTTTTAAATTAAAACAAGTGTGTTAGTAATTATGATTCTGGTTTTATAATTATTTGTTTTTTGCTACTGATCTTTAGATTTGAAACTTTGTTGCAGAACTGTTATTGGGATCAAATGCAAAGACGGAGTTGTGTTGGTAGGTTTTTCTTAAATTTTCTGCTACATTAGGGTTTTTTGTAATTTATTTTGTAATTTTTTTAATGAGTTGGGTTTTGGATTTAGGGCGTAGAGAAGCTTATTCCATCGAAAATGATGCTTCCGGGTTCCAACAGAAGAATACATTCGGTTCATCGTCACTCTGGAATGGTACTTTGTCGATAACCTCGTGCTTGTTATTTTACTTTATTTATTGCTTGTTGCTTTTGCTATTTGTTTTGATTTTATGATAACCTGAAGAGGTTTGCATGAAGAGTCGTGGTTTGACTTGCATTTGTTTTCAAGCTTGACCGTGACCTTTGAAATGCTACTGATGAAGTGGTGTTAGTCGAGGCTTTTGAAAATTTTCTATGATGCAATTGCAGCTGCAATGTCAAGGATTTTTTGTTTTTGTGGTCTCTTTTGTCCACAATTTTATGTAATATCATGTTTGTAGTAAATCGTTAGCTGCAGCTGTCTCCGCTAATTAAACCATCGGTTTTAGTAACAGTAGCTCTAGTTGGAAGTAAAATGTATTTTTCTTTTTGTTAATGGACATTCTGACGCATCTATTTCATGACTTGGTAAGCATAGTGAATCTAAAATTATGGCTAACCAAATGTTTAACAGTGACAGCATTTCAGGAATGTTTCTTATTTGTTAATTGGAGGTGGGTATTAGAAAAGTCATGGAAATCGTGATTTTATCAATAAAACAATTAATCAGAAATTGTTGTGTGCGTATGGTGCCAATTCATTTACTAAAACAAGCAGTGTATTGTAATCAAGTTAGAGCATTACTTACAGTGGTCATACTATGGTGCTTCATGTGTCACATTCTGGTTGGTTTGATGTTTTGGACTTTTTTTTATTACATGTATTAATCTTCTTCCATTTTTAGGCAGTAGCAGGATTAGCAGCTGATGGCAGGCAAATTGTTGCCCGGGCCAAGTCTGAAGCAACTAACTATGACAGGTTTGCTTCATTCTCTTGCAACGTATACATATGAAGATGCCTCCTCCCCCCACCCCTTTTATTTGTCTAAATGTGTGATGTATACTCAATCTTTTTATTGCTACTTCCATGGACTAACTGACACCTAGGAGAATAATTAAGCCTTGTATTTTGATTTTTAAGTCAATGTAATTTTAAGTTCGTTTCATTTAGCTGTATTTTGTTGATGAGAAAAAAAAGTTGTAGCTAGAAAATTTCACAGACTTATTAGTTTAGATGGACCAGTTGAAACCATGTATAATTTTGACTTGTTTTAGCTGCATTTTATCTTGCTCTTTCTTCCACAAGAAAAAAAAGTGATAGCTTGCAACTTCCAAGAATTGCTATTGCTACCCTACCCTGATTTTCTTTGATAAATACTAGACTTTTATCACAATGTAGCCTGATAAATCAATTTAAGTTATTGTAAAGCTCTAACAGAGTTAAGATTAACACAATAGCATGAGAATCTACAGAACTCAATTACCTGTGGTCTATATATACTATTCAGTATCACTGAAGTATAAATATCTCTTTACTATGAGATTTTAAATGCTTGCTTTTATCTTTTGAGAGGAAGAATGTTTAATCTGACTTGTATTTCTTTACAGTGTTTATGGTGAACCAATTCCTGTTAAGGAACTTGCTGATCGTGTGGCTAGTTATGTGCACCTTTGTACACTATATTGGTGGCTCAGGTTCAACTAGACTGAATCTACTGTAGTCAATTTAAATCTGTATTTTGTCATATTTCATATTAATAATAGATTTGATATGGTGCTGCAGACCTTTTGGATGTGGTGTCATACTAGGAGGTTATGACAGGGATGGACCACAGTTGTACATGGTTGAACCTTCAGGTGTTTCCTATGTGAGTCTACTTTTTGTTATGTGAAACTTCATAATTGGTCAAGCTATTGCTTTTTTGTAAGTTCCATGTGCTAGTTTTTATTGTTTTGTATTTTTGGTATTTGTTCCAGAGGTATTTCGGGGCTGCAATTGGGAAGGGCAGGCAGGCTGCTAAAACGTATGTGTATATTTTCTAGTAACTACATTTTAGTTCTTGCTGTCTTTGCTAGGGTTGATATCTTATGCTCTTCTCTTTTTATCCTTAACTCTTGATATTTATTTTCTAGTAAAATCTATTTCTTACTATCTAATAACTATTTGAGTTATTACGGATTTTGGTTTGTGAATTATGGCAATAAGCTGCTGAAGGTTAAGCAAGATGGATAGCTGTAGATCTGCGTAGAAACATCTCTTACTGAGTCATTGTTATCATATTTGTGGGATAGCTTGCAGAAGACCAAATGATAATCTTTTACTTCATTTTCTCCCACTTGTTTTCATTATGTGATATATGCTTGCTTCTAATTAATTGCAATGAATAAACAAAAACAAGGATGCTGTAATGTTATTAGAATCCACTAAAAAATCATTTAGCCTCTCACTCCAAATCAAAATACCTTACTCGCACACTTTGATGTATTCCTTGGGCCATACTGATTCAGACAAGAAAAAGAAATTAGCGGATTTTTAACCAAGTTTAATCCTAATCTGAAATGGTTACTCTCGGTTGCCAAATTTTGAACAATGGACTGGACCAGTCAGTTCAACAAGGAAACCAGTAAAGCAGTCCGGTATTTGGTTTGTTTGAACCAAAGAGCTGCCTAAAACTGGTGACCCGGTTAAATGTGACTCATGTGATATTGATATGTCAGACTTACATACTCAATATGATAGTAAACAATCTTGTTAATTTATTGGCAGAGAGATTGAAAAGTTGAAGCTTGCTGATATGACTTGTCGACAAGGGGTTATTGAAGTGGCGAAGATGTAAGTAACATGGTTATGATTATCAACTTCAGTATTTGTAGTTGCTATATTTTTATATTCTTGAATGGAGACTTGCCCAATTTTTGTTTGTTTGTGTTGAAAGTCTCACATCGCCTACCTCATATCATTTGGTATGGTTTAAATACATGTTAGGCTACTCCACATATTGCCAATTGGTTTTATGTTGGAATCTTAACATGGTATCAGAGCCAAAGCCTAACATCTTTCCGGTTATTGTCATGGGCTAAAAGTTGCCCTTTAGTTGGGTCAAAAGTACCCTTTGTCTGGTCCGGCAGGCTTCGTTGGAGGGGGTGTGTTGAAAGTCTCACATCGCCTACCTCATATCATTTGGTATGGTTTAAATACATGTTAGACTACTCCACATATTGCCAATTGATTTTATGTTGAAATCTTAACAGTTTGGATGCATTGTTGCTTTGTTACAAATTTTGATTGGAGTATCAATGATAATAATGTTTGTGTCAAACAGTATATATGGAGTTCATGATGAGGCAAAGGACAAAGATTTTGAACTAGAAATGAGCTGGGTATGTGATGAATCAAAACGCCAGCATGAAAAGGTAAGGCTGGGTGTGCTTTCAGTTACTTCTATATGCAGACAATTTGTTTCAGTTTATAACAATGACAAATGTGCCTTATTTATGACTAGCTATAATTTTATCATTTATTTATTTTCATATAGTATATTCCTTTTTAAGTTATAATTCCTAGCTGTGTATAAAAAGAGTGTAGAAAAATGTTTTTCGATACCGAAAGTGGAAATATTGGCCTGTGAAGTTTGGGGGAATGGGGAGAAAATCGAAGTTGTTGGCTAGTGCTGGCATTTAAATTATATTTGTTGTAGGAAGTACAAGTTCAGTGTACTGAAAAGACTTCCTGTGCTATTTTGAACTTCCAGTGTATTGCATTTAAGGTGGATTTTGTTACATTAGTTGTTTCACTATTTGTGGGGTAAAAAGATTATCTTTGGCACGAAGCATAATCTAGTATGACTGGTCTTCAGATACTGTGTAGCTTAATGTATGTGTGCATGCGCTACCTTTAACACCATTTTGCTTGGTGACTCATGAAATTTATCCATGGAATATTGACCCCGCTAAAACTTTAACATCCTTGTCCTTTGGATCCTCTCAAGTGATAACTAAAATATCAGTGGACAGTTTCTATCTTCTAATAGTTTCTTGTCTCTTTTTACAAGGCATTCATCTCATTCGCATCAAATGATGTAAATTTATTTTAAGAAGTTCCATTGGTGTCCTTACTAACAAGGTCCAACACAGTTGATAAATAGTTGGGTTCTATGAGATTGTTGCCTTAGTCATGTAAATGGGGAGACTTTGTTGGGAGAAACAAAACCCATTTTAGTGAGTGACCTATACATCTCGAAATGAGTTATTTGTTGGTGTAGTATATCTTTGATACATACGAAAAGAAAAAAGTTCCTCTGGCATCTTTGAATAGGAAATAGTGCATTCTAGTATTGCGTTCAGTCAAAAGAGGCTATGCTGAGTTAGAAAGTTGATTATTATTATTATTCTTACTGTTGCTTCCCTGGGTTAGCAATTGTTTCCCTGGAGTTATGATTATTTTTTAGTTTTTGAAACTTGTTACTTTATGCTACTTAATGATTACTGTACAGGTCCCAGACGAGCTTCTAGAAGAAGCTAAAGCAGCGGCCAAAGCAGCTCTTGAAGAAATGGATGCAGATTAGTAGACTAGAAATATTTATTCCAAAGCTGTATTCCGTAACTTTGTAATTGAGCATGTTGGACTATAGGAAATGCAAAGGCTTCACTAGTTGGATTTTGTATGCTTTCTGATGATTTAATGCCCTAGATTTCATGCTCCTGGATAATTTGAGGTTTGAAGTTTTTAGTAAATCTATCTATCATATTCGCATCTGCACACCATTGAGTTTATTTTATTTCTCCCATCATTTGTATTCATCTCTTTATGCTTTCATAATCAAAATTTTTAATGCATTTCTGAAAAATTTCTCCCATCATTTGTCTCCATATTTATAGGGGTCTTGTTAATAAATTAGTGTCTACTCTTATTGTAGGGTTAACATGAAGTTTGCCCGTAATAGCGAGTGTTTCCCTGGTTTGGGACATTTTTGATAAGACCTGAAAATTTAAAATACGTATAACGAATTATGAATTCAGTCTTAAAATCATAAGCATTTTGTTAAAGAATTGAATAAAAATATTTGGAACCAAAAATATCCTATGACACTGCATTTTCAGACAATTTACCTTTGAAACGATTCTAAATATCGAGCTCTCCTGTTTTGCTTTAGTGTACCTACCTCATTTGGCCTTTTTCTTCCGGTTCTAGCTACTCTGGATTCGTAAAATTGTACTGCTCTAATGTAATAATATAACATGAAAATGTATAATTTTAACTTTTATCAATACGGAAAATGCCACGAAAATTTTCGAAAAGGAGCGAAAGATTGATACTTTCAGCGAGCCTAAGGTGATAGTTTTGTCAACATAAAGTTAGGCCAAAGTCTTTTCAGACCAAGTATAAAAAACGAAATGATAAACGAATGGCTGTTCGAAAGGCAACCCCCATCCAATACTAGGATTTTATTACTTTTGTTGTCAAGTCAACGAATTCTTTTTCAAGTTTTCATATAAAATTACGTAGTATAACGTAGGAAAGAATTTCTCAAATGACACGCATTTGGATATACGATCGAAATTCGCTCGCGATGATTAATAAAATATAATATATAATAAATATAAATATATACTTTTATATATAATAAAAATATATTGTATAATTATATGTTTAATATATTTATATATAATTTTATAAATCTATATATATATATATATAAATATATATATATATATATATATATATATATTTATATGATAATATATTTTTTATATAATATTTAAGTATTTATTTAATAAAAAAGTTTTGTAGTAAATAAATATAATATATATATATATTTTAAACATCTATTTATATAATTATATCATAAAAATATATTTATATAATTATATCATAAAAATATATTTATATAATTATATCATAAAAATATATTTATATAATTATATGTTTAATATATTTTTATAAATATAGTAAATACAAATATATTTAATATATATATATATATATATATATATATATATATATATATATATATATAATATTTAAATTTTATTTAATATAAATTAGTTGAAGAAAAATTTGATAAAAATGATAATTTATAGGAATAAAAAATAAAAAATAAATTCATATAAGACATTATATGAATAATAATTTATTTAATAATAACTTTGATGTAAAAAATTAGAAAAATACAAATCAATTACAAGATTATAGATTTAATATTTAAATAAATAAATATGGATATAATATATATATATATATATATATATATATATATATATAATAAGATATTTAATAAATACATGTATTAAGATATATATATATATATATATATAAATATAATTATATATTTGTATAGATTTTATAAATATATAGTCATATATATTTATATATTTATATATTTATATTTATAGATATTTATATTGATGATATAAAATATTAAAAGATCATAGATTAATGGTGCATAATTGAAATAATACATGTTAATATGAAACTCAACTACATTAGAAATAATACGATAAATGGTAATTGAATAATCATATTATAAATCGCGAAACAAATGTAGACCTTGTTATCCTGTGTTTATCAAAGTATGTACTATCTTCTAAGTCACGAATGATTTCGTCAGATGTTGCCCTTTGTATAGTCTTAGTTTGAACAAACAATTCAATCTTTCTCCATGTTTTTTCACGTTGCACAGTTGGGTGTAGAAATTTTGTTTTTTTCCAACGGTTGATCATTTGGGCCATATCAGCATCAGTTTTGATCTGTACTGAGTCGTGAATGATCTTTTGGTTGGTTTCACACTCGAATTGGAAGGCGGTAGTTGATTTCAGTAATTTGTTTGTGATCTCCATAGTCAAGTACTTGAGTAATATTTTCATATAGTTGAGCAAAAGACCATGTATATTGGATTGCCATTGTTCTAGGGTTTAAACATGTATAAATAAGACCAAAAGCATTTTGAATTTCCATGATGGTTGCAAATTGAACAAGCCCACCAAAGTAAATTATAACTTCAGAGAAAGTGATGTTTGAGATTGCGGAGAGGTAAAAATAAGGGGGTTTAAAAACATCATTATTTCATCAATGGATCTTGTATATTGAACATATAATTTAATGATAGTCTCTAAAGAGAATTGTGACTTCCAAGTAATCATTTTAAATACATCAATATCAGAAAATAATTTAGTAGCATCATATATAATTAAACCATCACCTGTTAGTTTTGGTTGACGATAATACAACTTGTTGATTGAGGTGCCTGCAGGAATCCCTAAGAAATGCATATTTTTTCCTTCAGAATGATAAATGTGCAACTGTGTGGAATTCGAAAAAGTTTAGGAGATGCACTTTGAAAGTACACCCCTTTCTCATTTGTTGTGATTTTCCAATTTGCAAACACTATTGTAAGATAAGAGTTATCAAAATTTTCAATATTTGTGATGTCAAATTCCTCCATTTGAAGAGTAAAAAGAAGAATAACACAAAGATTGGATATGAGTGTTAATAGGCAAGATGAGTAGGTGAATTTTGATGAGACCAAACCTGAATTTATATATGTCATTTACTGTATTATGGAGACGAAAATGCCCCCATAATAAATGATTGTACTTTGTATTTTGAGCTGGGCCTTAGACAGCATAATGGTGACTTGACTTTGACGTTGGACAGTGTGTGTTAAATATGGATCATTAATATTTGGGAATTCAATTTTGACCATTACTTTTTGCTGACATCTTGAACAATATATGGTACAAAAGAATCTTATTCTGAGCAGTATTTCGAGGTTGGTCTTGGACTGTGTACATATTGGGCAATGTGTGTTGAATGTGAATTGTTGATATGTGGGGATTAAATTTTGACCATTACTTTTTGCTGACACCTTAAATAATATATAGTACAGAGGAATCTTATCCTGAACAATATTTCGATGTTGGTCTTGGACAATATACATATTGGGCAGTGTGCATTAGTGTGTGATATAGAGGAGTCTTATCTTGAATAGTATTCCATGTATCCCTAGGTTGGTTTTGGATAATGCTAATTACATTTTGATTGTTGATGTTTTGGGATATAATCTTGACCATTAGTTTGTGCTGAGATATTGGGCAACATGTCTTAGTGTGTGGAACAAAGGAGTTTTATCGTGTTTAACTTTTAATATTAAATAATTAGATTTTTTATAAAATAACATTTAATAATTTTTCTTGTTATTTGAAACTTAGTTAATTTTGTTATATTTTAAGAAATTGATAAATATATTACAGAAATATAGTACACTTAAAATATATTACAAAAAAGTTAATATGCATTAAAAAAAAGAGTTAAAGTACAATTATTTAGCATTACACAAAAGTTATTATCCATTATAGAAAAGTTAAACTAGTCTCACGTAATAGTGACCAATTTCACAATAAGGACGTCGTCTATGATGTCATGGATTTCTTATTTGATATTCTTCTTGGGGTGGTTGTTGTTCAGGTGGTTATGATGATAATATGGTGGATAGATTTATAGCATATAATCATGGGTAGATGATGGTGTTATATGATTTTCGCCAAATAAATTTGAGAAAAAATCATCTGAACTTGAAGCAAAAGAAATTCGAGTAGGATCCATTAGTGGTTGTGGTGGAGGTGTCCAATAGGAAGTATTGTGAATCTTGGTCATTGCTTTTTACTATCACCTAGGGTAGTGTGTGTCATGGCATGGTACAGAGGAATCTTATCATGAACAGTGACCTTTGTGTTGTGACTTGGACCGTAGGATAAGGTGAAATTTATCTTGGTCGTTGATGTATGGAGATTTTATCTTGGTCATTGCTTTTTACTGTCACGTAGGATAGTGTGTCAGGGCGTGACGCAAATGAATCTTATTAGCTAGAAAAATTAATCCAAAGTAGGAAAAAAAAAGAAAATTACATGTTACATAACTTATCACTTTGGCCGTTTCATGAACTTTCTTTACCACCTTCATAATATTATTTAACATGATCTTTGATGTTGGTATATAATTTTCACGGTAACGAATGTGAGTGTTAAAGATGTTGTTAAATTGAAGAAAATTAATCCAAAGTGGGAAAAAAAAATTAGAAAATTACATATTACAAAATTTATCACTTTGGCCGTTTTATAAACATTTTTTATCACCTTCACAAAATTATAAGGGAGTGGGCAATGAATGAAAATAGAAGAAAACAATAAATAGAGAATAATATCAAATCCAATAAAGCTATAAATTAAAGGAAACAAAAAATCGAACAAAAATTAGAGTAGAATAATTATTTTAAAAAAGAAGAAGATACATAACGCAAATTATACCAGAAAATAGAGAGTGCAACAAATATAAGTCATAAAAAAAAAGATACATAAGCTAACCACAGGAACTACTCCAAAGTTTTAACATTTTACAACAAACTTAAAAACGCTTGATCTTGTAGAGGGTGAAGAGGATCTTGTATTACATCACTTTGTTTTACGGAAATCTCAATGTTGGGTGGCTGAACCTTGGTCATTTTGACGACCAATTCCAAAGTCATATGTTGAGGAAACTGCAGATGCTAATGTATCATGTCTTGAATAG